ACCGAAAGTTAAAAACAGCTATCCCAAATGAAATATGATCCATCATCGGGATGTTGTGATAAAATAAATATGAAAGTTCCAACTTTCTGAACCTCCTCCCGCCACGAGTTCCCGTGAGAGCAATTTTAGAAATGTTCGCGCATCTAAATAATAAATATGACAATATCGTGTTAGTGTGTAAGAAAAAAGTTGCCTTCATTGTAAAATGGACTGCTCCTGTTATATAAAGTTTAATACAGAGGAAAAGTGCACTAAATACACAATTTTTTAAAGTTCTCTGTCAATGTAGCCCTTTTAATTGACTTAGCCTCAGGTAGAAAAATGATCTATCTTAAAATTGCAGCAGTTGATTTGACTGTTTTCTTGACTTTGGACTTGTGCCGTTCAGTTATGATTATATATCATTATAACACATATTTGGCATTTCTTTCCCATGTTTTTCGAGTAATGATATCTCTTTATTAATCTTCCAGCAGTCAAGTGGTATTTTTTACTACTTTTTTTACTTTTTCTGTTTTAAAGTTGCTTATCAATATAAGACATACTAAACGTTCCGCACAGCCTATAATATTATGCTTGAAGTCTGCCGCACCCATATTGTGCACCATCCTAGCGATTGCTTTCTCGATATTGATCAAGTGTGCTTAGGAAATGGAAGGTAGAGCGATGAAGCCAGTGGTTTATCGGCTGATTTATCGCTCCTATAGGCGTGTCAATGTCACACAACGCCGAGATTGTGCTTTTTGAAATACTATAGAAAAATATTGGAACGCGAAATATACAATAGAAACGTAGAAAGACCGTAGAAACGCGAAATAATATTTATAAAAATACATCAATATCTCGAATTTCCGCAGTTGATTTTGAACACTACCTTCCATGTATCAAGGTTTCAAATCAAGTGGAGAAATTTATTAGTTTTATAGGTATAGTGACGTACTGTTGACTGTATAGACAAATAACGTCCGAATAGGCTGTAATTGCAAATATTTGATGAAACTCTAGGTCTCGTCTGTAATAATGTATTGCGCCGCCAAACAATATAAATATCAAACGTTCTTAGACGCATTTTTGGAATCGACTTCAAACATGGAATAGACTTCAAGCGTAACAAATTGTGTTCTATGTCATCTATCATATTAAAACTGTTGAAGTGGTAATTTGAGTTTGGAAAAATAAAAAAGTTGACTGGGGCCATGTCACGCTAATCCGGTGATTATTCGATAAGATTTTGTGGAGTTTTGGGTCAGAAATTGTGTTGAATTTTCAGTAGCTATCTCTCTGAGATTGAAACAGTGATATTTTAGCTCATTACAGCCATCTGTTATGAGCTAAAAGACAATAATAACTTAAGAGGCTAAATATTTCATTTTAAAATATCATATTTTAACATCTTAAGCTATCATATACGGTTAATAAAAATGCTATACCTATGTTATATTTAATCTTACGATATCTTAAGATATTAATTAACCTACGAAATATATATTTTGTATCTTAAGATAACCTTCGAATAGTGATACCAACCCTATTTTTTTAACAGTAGATTTGCTGTTTTCTGTGGTTTCATTCCATATACAAATAATTATATTTGGATTACCTAAATAACCTATTACTACACATTTGAAGTCACAGAAAGGCACAAAACATTCAGTAAAAGTAGTAATTTTAAAAATGCAAATGAAACAGATAATACCGAAAATCAGGTAATTGTGGGAGGAAGTGGAAAATGATTTGGTTTTTTATTTCGTTTTTTATTTTTATTTTATTATTTTACAATGCTATATTGCATTTGATGACTAACAAAAGTATGTGATTGTTCTCATTTTATTAGTACAGAATTTTTGTTACTTAATCTACAGTTTTCCCCTGTTTTTTATTGGTGCACTGTCGTTTATTGGGCTTGGCTACACTGCCTACGAAATACATGTTTCAATATTGCGTGGCGTCTTAAGATACTTAATATGAAAATATTATATTATCATACTATAGAATCTTAACCGTCTGTTACCTTTACTTTAGCAATGTTAAGTTTAATCGAACCTCAACATGCCTGACAACAAAATCTTCCACCAATACACGCCGCTTTCAAATGTATTCATTTCCTGATAGTTCAGACAGCCTGACAGAGCATTAAGGGCTTCATTTTCACAAATCAATCAGGGTTTCGGTTAACCTGTAGAGACGCAGGTCTTCTTTAAATATATCTATCGCTTCTCTGATCTTCAAAAATTTTCATAGCTTCCCTGGCTTATTTATCTTTCTACTTTCATGTTGTATATTAGTTTTGTAATTACTTAGTTAGTTTAGTTTAACTTTCTAATCTCTGTGCTATTCTAAGGGATTTAAAATTTTGGTGTTAAAAATATATACAGAAAATATCCTAACAAAGTCAAAGTCAAAATAAACTTCTTAAAAGTACTTTTGAATCGTCCAACACTTTTTTTCTACCACTCGTTCAGGACGTCTTTTGGCTGATAAGAAGAACGAGCAAGAAACTCACCAGCTCTAATAAGAGTAATGACATTTACAAAAACTATGTCATTACCAGATCAATACATTATAAACAGAGATAGAGAAAAAAAAACTATGGTCTTATAATAATAACATAATCATTTAATAAAAATGGAAACAAGATAATGAGTTTAGAAGTAATCACCTATCCAGTTGCTGGATCATCTCAAGTCCAAGCGTTCTTATCTGTTATATAATCGGATACCTTATAATAAGCTTTTTTAATAAGTATTTTTTTAATAGTAGATTTAAACTGCATGATATCTAATTGTTGTATTTTGCTTGGGATCTTAATGTAGAAGCGCACACAAAGACCCTTGAATGAGTTATTAACTTTTTGCAGTCTAGTGACAGGCACCGTTAATTTATTTTTATTTCTTGTATTAAAATTGTGTACATCACTTTTTATATAAAACAAACTAATATTTTTACGAACGTACATTAAGTTCTCGTATATGTATTGAGAAGCAACAGTCATAAGTCTATTTCCTTAAATTTCTCCCTTAAAGAGTCCCTAATCCTAAGATTATAAATTGATCGAATTGCTCTTTTCTGAAGCACAAAAATTGTTTGTATGTCGGCAGCATTTCCCCACAATAGGATTCCATACGACATTTCACTATGAAAGTTACTGAAGTATACTAATCTGGCAGTATCTATGTCAGTTAACCTACGTACTTTCATTACGGCATATGCTGCAGAGCTAAGTCTACTCGACAATTTATCAATATGTACCACTGTAGTTTAGAATCTAATGTTATTCCTAAAAACTGTATGGTAGGCGTAGATTCAGTACATTGATAATGATCATTAAAAATGCATCCATCATATTTATCTGATAGGTAGTCTGAAAGTAGGAACATGACGCATTTCGTATGTTCTGTTTCTAATTTAGTCCAAGGTGTGGTGGAACAGTGAACTCCTTAGGTTTCAGTGATTTTCTAAAGCGACGATAAGCGCTAATGGCCTTGCGCAACCCACATATTGAGCGTCCTTCTCACACCATGTAGGTATGCAAAATTATATAAAGTTGTTTGTATGTTTTATTGTAGTATTTATCGTAAGAAAAATAATAGGATTATTGAATTATTGAATTTATGAGTAGTTTTAAATTTGTTGCCTTATGAAGATGCCACATTTTCTATATAAGTACCTTATTTATTGATTGATTGTTGTATGATTATTATACAAATTACAAAATATCCTTAAATTATTGTTTAGTGCAAATTTTGAGTTGACTTACATTACCTATTCAAAGTATTTGCATGATCATCGTATATCCTTAAAAGGGCGGGTACACCCAAAATCACTTTCATCAGCTTTCATTTGGTTTTGTACAAATATATAAGGACCAAATAAGTTTTATTCTTCATTAAGGTTGTGTGTTCGAATCCCATCTCAGAGTACCAGGGATGATGTGGATTTTTAAGCATTTTTCATTAAGTTCCAGTACAGCATTGTGAATGGAAAATTGACCAAATAAAATAACTAAGTTGGACATAAATTATGAAACTATATCATTAATTTACTTTAACCAATGAGTAAAACAAACCATAACATTCCAAGTATTCAAAGTCATTGTCAAGACAAATTCAACTAGCCCAAATTCGATGGGGTTACTTCGTTTAATTACCGAGTACCCATGAGTAAAGAGTCGAGTAAAAGTAATTACTTAAGCAAATATTTTTATAAATAAACAAGATAGATAGATGAACTCTTTTTTGCTCACACATAAATGAAAAAAAAAATTACAGTAAATTTCTTAATGCTAGTGAGCTAAGCCGGCCTTATCACTAAAAGCGATCTCTTCCAGACAGCCCTTGTGTTAATGGACACCTGTTTTAATTATTTTAATGAAATAAGAACTATTAATAGTAAGAATACTATTATGATTAGCTATTAACAGTTCTTATTTCTTTCAAATTCTTGTATATTGATTAAAGATATCTGCTCAGCTTATGCTATTTTTTCAATCATTACTTTTCTCCTTGACCATAGACACGAGTGTTCGTATGTTGCGTTTTTATCGATATAATACTTTTTTTGACGAAGGTAATGCATTACATACAGCATACGCACCTTTTCAGCTCCGATGTCTCTCTCTATGGTCGACAATGTAACCGTCGTACTTCGTGGTAACAACTCAAAAGATTTCTTACTGCTAGAATTATTAAAATCATTATCATAATTTCTCACAATGTAATACAGCATCTACTGCCCAGCTATATAATTCCAGTCAAACCTGCGATGGTATGGGATAAATTGTTCTTTAGCGATTCCAGTTGCACAGACGGCTTTAATCTCTAACAGATGTTCAATATATATGTTCATTATTTTATATCCGCAATATAACTTTAAACTAATGACAATTTTGATGCACGTTTGTGCAATTGGGTGTTACTGTTGTGTCATGTAAATTGATTATGGTGTAATTATTCATTAATTTTCATACAAGTAATGCCTAAACAATGTTTTCCATATTGCAGGTGCAATTCCAATGGTGACAGCGACCGTGTACTGTGCGCCTGCGCTTCTACGGTATGCAGCGCTCGCTGTCTACAGTCTGGGCAGCATGCTCGGCCTATATAAAGTCAGTTCACTATGTATTTTCTGTTCTCTTACAAAAGTATGAATGGCTAATTAAATTGTGACTTATTGCTATTAACGATAATTACTACTTGCTGGTCTAATACTTCAATTTTTTTTACGGCTTACGTTGACTATACGAAGAAGCGAAAGAATGGACTCTGATCATTGTGCTTTTAACTATTATCCTGACACCAAATTTCTAACAAATACAAGCTATGTAACTATTGATAGAAATTATTTTAATAATGTCAAATTTAACCAACTATTCCTTCACTCATTTCTTTCTACTCAAAAGAAGTAAAATTTTAGGTCATTTGGCGTCGAAATCGATATGTAACGAGAATGATACAATCTTTGCGACTTGCAATATTTCTACAATTTTATTATTTCTCAAAGAAAAGATCATACTTCATGTTCGGAGTCGACAGATTTAAAAATGCTATAATAAAGTGTCTAGCTGTAGCATTTGTGCAAAACATATAGACGATGGTTGGGTAATGCCACCTAAACTTTTTTATTGTAATCACATTTTGTATCTTTTGTATTATCTGTATTTCATGTCATCGCTAAATCTAAAAAAAACACTGCGTCTGAAATAAAGATTTATTATTGTTATAAATAATACTTCGCGTAATCGCATATAACATTGTGCTTTGTACAACTGCGAAGGCAATGCGCGCTTGGTCGCCTTGGGAGCGCCGGCTGTGTTTTGCTGCACCGTTTTGCATGCGGTTAATGCTAGCGGGGGCGCGCGCCGCGCGGCTCGGTGGCGGCGACCCGCATGCTATTCTGCACGTCTTCCTACAGGCAAGTAGCTAACATTAACATTCTAACGGTTTAAGCTCTAATTAATCTCATTTGTACCTGTAATGTCGCTATAAACTAATTACAATATTGCTTTAAACTGCTAAAAACATTTAAAAAGATCAAACAAGCTGAGAGATTACGAAATAGCTAGTTAAGTAATAAATGAGCGCGCTTACGATGTGCAATCTAGAAACAGGTATTAAGACAAGGCTGTTCTATTCTTCTGTGCAACTGCAGAGATAATAAATCGATAAAGAAAGCAATATACCGACTCGTTCTAATTAAAAGCTACAGTGGTGGCTTAGAGAAATCCTCAGCAAAGCCGTTAATTAAATAAAAAATGTACTTATTTGAGATTATGTATTTATAGGTATCTACATAAAGCTTCTTTCAAGTGTAAATAAATTATTAAAATTAATAACCTGAGCTATTTATTAAACTTCACTCCGAATCGAGGTGAATGTATTCATTATATTGTTTTTGTTTACATTTGCGTACGTTCATAGGTACAGGATATGTTATAGGATATATATATATATATATTAAATATTATAGGATAAACTAAAGGATTGTGAATTCAAAATTGATCAAATAATAATAATTAAACCAAGTTTTATTCTTAATCGAAAGTTTAAAATATTTCTTTTGGCTGTTGGATTGTCTAAACATTGATGATAATACGCTCACTAGTAACAAAAAGGAACAAGTGCTTGAAAAATGCGTCAGTCTGTAATTAGAGAAAAATTGTCAATGCTTTTCTCTTTTTTATGACTGGACTAAGGAGAAATTTAATGAACGGCCTTTCTCATTAGTGTAGACTCAACATTAAACAAAAAGGAATGCACCCATTCTGCTTAACTTTAGAAATCACAGCTTATATTCCATTTACCAAACAATTTTCTTTTTATGAAACAGTAAGAAGTCGAGTCCTTAAACAAAACTATTGAACTTATAAATAAAGACTTTTCTCTAGGTCGCAGACACAATATTTAACAAAATAGGCTTGTGTCCAACAAGTGAAAATACAGGTTTTTGTTATATCTTCGAAAAATATGAACCATTTCAACTTATAAATGTTTAACAAAACAAATTTTAAGTCAATGATTTGGAAAATATTACGCTTTGGAAACTTGAAAAAGTACAGAAAATCTACTACAAAAATCGGCTAAAATACATAAGGCTTTAAATTAGATATAAAAAATGTTACAACTTTCATTATAACAGCTATAAACATAAACGCACAAATAACAAAGATATTACAAAAAATGTCCAGACGCCCATACATTTTTCGCTACTGTAGCACCATGTGACGTCACTGAGTGCTTTGAATTTGTAGGGAGCGTTTTCGGCCAACTAGTAGCAGTTCTACAAACACAGCACCGTATCTCCGAAACTATTTATCGCAGACATGCTGTTACTTCGACATTATTTTTCAGATGTTAATGGACTATTTATTTATGAAATAAAAAAAAAGTTGTCAACTAGCCTATTACTTTCCAGCTGTATAATAACTGCACTATTGTGTGTCGACTTTCATTTTAGTCATAAACCCCCTTCCTATATCGACATACTAATTGACTAATGCATATAAGCATTTATATGTATTTAGTATTAACTCTCATGATCCACGAAGCCTCATCTAAAGTCACGTGCTTAGTGAACTTCAGAGAGGCGTAACATGATATACCTACGCCACATAAAACAAGTGAATCAATAGTAACCACGGACTATTGGTGGTTATAAGGCTTCAAAGCAACATGCCCACTAGTATTTCCCTCAATATAAAGTATTTCAGCATTTTCTTTTAAGTTTCACTATTTATCACTAACATAAGAAAGGGTTATTATATTAAACTAAGGGTTGTCACCGTATTTTGATTAATTTAGCATTTCCAATGCTATATTGGAAAATGAAAGATGCTTAAAAAATTTCACTTTTCCTCAAGGTACTCTGATATTGGAGATAGAGATGGACAGCAGACGCCCGGATTACGAAATATCGGGATTCGTGTCATATCTCATAGTACCTAAGGGTAGTTTTAAAACAATGAGTAAATCCATATTTTTTTACAATGTTTACATAAATACTTCGAACCAACCCAACTTCTTTTTGTTAACATACGAGACTCGAATCCACGACCTTTCGCACTCCGGGTGAGTGCTCTAGCCACTGAGCTACCCAGGACCTAACAGGACTGACGAATTTTTAAAGCACTTGTTATTTTGTCGCTACTACAGAGAGTATTTTCATCAATATTTAGGAAATCCACCCAAACAGCCGAAAGAAATATATTTTTACAAATATTTAAACTTTCGATAAAGATGAAAATTTGTTCTAATTATTATATTTGATAAATTTTGCATTCACAATGCTGTACTGAGAAATATATTCTTATTAAAAAATGTGTTAAAAAATCCACTTTGTCCCTGGCACCCAGAGATGGACTGATATGTTTCCAAAAGAACCGTTTAACTGCAATACAACAAATGCCTGGTAGTTTCATGAGTGGAGTGAATTATTGGACAAGATTTACTTATTTCATTAAAATAATGACATATTTTTGTATTACAATTTTATCTGCACCAATTCATTATTATGAACCTATCAATAATAATCTAAAAAGCGAGACAAGATTTATTATGTATTGCTTTGATTTCTACGAACAGGTCATCAGTCATCGTAAACATAAAGATTAAAAATAAACCAGATCATGTTTCTCATTCATTTCATAGAAAGCTGAACGGTCGACAGCTGATGCTTTTTACGTCAATAAGTTACTGTTTTAAGGTCATTTGCTCTTTTTATAGAAGAAAGAATTGCCAAAATTATATTATAATGTCAGGATACTATCTAGATGATTAAGTATCATTAAGCGGCATGAATGCCCATTGGGAAAGAAAGCAAGAACTAGTAAGTTTAGGATTTTTTTGTAAACTGATCAAACAAAATTGATGGCTGTCTAATTCCCTCTCGACTCGACAACTTCAATCGGGCTATTCAAAGTGCGGCCACAGGATGCGTTTACGGTGAGGTGTGGTGTCGTGCAGTTACGACGGTTGCTGTCGCCAGCGTTGTGGCGCCGCGCCGGCCGTCGGTGATTTTATCAGACCGGTCTATGACGTCGCGCCGCTGCGGTAACGCACAACATTGATCTGCAGTCTGCACCGCACCGCTCCATAACACATTGTGTGGCCGCCCACGAAGAGTAATGGCTTGTTTACACTGATTAAATTGACTAGAAGTTAAGAAAATTGACGACTTAATTTTCTAATGGCTGGTTTAATAACTTTATTTTAAGTGATTAAGTGCAAACACACTTTAATCATTTAAAATTATCAAATAGGTTAATAATCTTGTTAACTACGTATCAACTTATTATGTGTAAACCAGCTTTAAGTGTGCGTACTAAGCGTGCGGCGGCGTCGTGCAGTTGCGCAGACTGACCTACAAACAAACAATACTTTACCCGGGACCACAGTTGCCGCGACTACACGACGCTGGTACCTTACGCAAAACAATGCACGCTATTTTTCAGAGAATAAAGCCTTAAAACTATCCCTATCTATCTCATAGCTTCTCTCGAGGAGGAGGATAGGATCAGACGCTGACGAAAATAGTTACAAATTAATAACTACTCATCCTAGCCGTTTAATTAGAACAACGTAGGCGTTGTCCTGATCAGCGATTAGGATAGTTATGATAGAAGAGCATGATAGCATTTTTGTCTTGAGCTATTTTATGCTCAAGAATTTTTATGTCTTCTTTCGGAAGGCTTTTGGTCCTGCTTGCATATGCTTTCATTAACACCCACGACCCGCAGCGCGCTCCTACAATGATTGAGCGATAATATAGCTCTCGAAGACTCTCAAGATTGCTCTCAAGCATCCAAAGGGAGAGGAATGTATATATAACTGACAGGCCTATACTTGTGATTCCAGGACGCAGTGTCCTTAGGCGGCGGGGTGATCGGCGCCCTGCATATCCCCGAAAAGTGGTTCCCGGGCGCTGTGGACCGCTGCCTCAACTCACATAACATCATGCATGTGCTGGTGGTACTCGCAGTATACTCCATGCACCAGGTATTATTGAAATTCTAATAACATTTTCAGATCGATTTTTGAGCCAAAATTAAATCGGTATATGCCGAAAAAACTTTGTGACATTCTGCACTCTTGTTTGATTCACTAGCATACTCGGGCTCTAGTGTACCTAATCAAGAGTACATAACGGCGCAATTGCAATTTCAATCGGTCACAATTGCGTTCGAAAGTGAGACGGCTGATCTAAAGAATATAAAAATACATTTCAAACACAATTTAAAAAATTAATACAGGTGACCACACGTGACATAGCATGGATGTCTCGCGTGGACTGCAGGGCCCCCCTGCGTCAGCTCTGACGGCCGGCCGCAACCACGCCCGCCCCGCCCGGACATCTCACCAACGCCTTGCTACAGCTCTGGTTCACGTCCCCCTGGCTCTAGTCCTCTACCCCCCAAGGGGATAGCAATCTTGCATAGAATTTACGGAAGCGCTCAACATTTGCCCACATTTGAATTCAAGATTTCTTATCAGAAAGTTGCTGTTGCTCTGATTATTACCAGAAAAAATTAAAATATCGAATTCATATTAACAATCACCGGACTTTATTGATATGTTTATTTCGTAGACGGGGCTTCCCAATATTTATTGGTAACTTTAGAAGCCCTAATAGAATCTGTTAACAATTTTAAAGATTTTTAAAATGTAAAACATAATAAATTAAAATTTGTCTTGTAACTACAAAATTTATGAAATCGGACAATATCAGCCTGCAAGGATCTCATGTATCCTATATACGTATTACGAACATATCTCTAACACCAATAACTATAACTTACGAGGGATATTGTGCATTACTCTCTCGTACTTTGATTCATTAATTTTAGTAATCTACAAAAAAATATTGATAAATGAAACAACTTTTGAACGGTTTCACCGCGTTTATATTTTTCTTTTATTGACGTTTCGGAGCCTTTACAGGTTTCGTATCCACATAAGACAAAAGTCTTTTTTAAATAATTTAATTTAATAAATGTAAACGTTTCCATATTTTTTTGTATTGTGAATGTGTCCAATAATTTTGTTGTGAATGTACTCGTGGCTATATTCTTAATTAAAAAGACAAGCAACACCTTGGTCATCAAACGTCAATAAAAGTAAAATACAAATGCGAAGAAACCGTTTAAAAATTATTTGGTTTATGGTTGGTGCGCGTGAAAATATAAAAAATTAAGATATTGTTGATCATTTTCTTTATTATTTGTGATGTCTGTTTTAGGTGATGCGCAAATATCCCATGTCATTCCCATTTAATCTTTCAATCAATAATAGAAAAATATACCGGGTCATAAAAGTAATTATGTACTGAAAAATACATCAATAAAACTGAACAATTTTCTTATAAAAATTCTATTCAGTAAATCGAATTACAACACTTAAAACACATCTTTACAAGATGCGCTTTTTATACAACACAATTAATGCTTCCTCATTAGACAATGAGCTGAAAATTACTTAAATCGTTTACAAAATGCAATAAGTTCTTCGAGTTCTAAGTGAGATATCAATTTAAAAAATATATTATTAAAACAAAATGTTAAATGACAGTATCTGCAAAATAGACTAGTTTCACTTCGTCATTTTTAGAGTTGTATCATATTTCACGTCGCTTACCTAACAATACCGTGCGCTACTGTTTTTAATAAAAGCAAAATAATATAATAAAAAATAGTAGGTACTAAATTACATTTTATATTTATCGCATAAAAATGTTTAAGTTTGAAATACGTTCATTTTAAAAGTAAAAATTTTATTTATTGTGGTGGTTATGATAGATGCCGTCAATGATTTTCGAATATAAAGTATCATAAATCAATAATAATAATACTGTAAAGTAATACAGTGCATGAGTAGTGAAGAGGAAAAGTGTTCCGTGAATTTAACGCGTAAACGCGAACGTTCAGCGTTTCGTATGTAACCTGAACCTTTCAATTGGCTCTAAAGAACTCTTAAAAAAATTAAACATCGATCACTTACGTTTTAGTGATATAACGCAGACTAAATATTACTTAGGATAAGTTTGTATGGTCTTATGCTCTTTGTCTGCTTTATCGATAAGAAAACTGAGGATTTTCGATACAAATTGTCATTTGTACAAGTTTTGTATAAGGAACAAGTTTTCGTTATTTCGAACCATTAACTCAAAACTTAGAGATATCAAAAATAGAAAAAAACTTTACTGAAATGTGTAACGTTATTTGATACATTGTTCATACGCGGTATTTTTAGCTAAACGACGATAAGCAATATAAATTAAATGATAATCAAAAACATTATTCTTGTTTATATGTATAAAGTGGCATTGTAGAACTGTAAACAAGTTTACGAACGTGATAACTTTATAATCGTAGCGTAACCAATACTTGATAATTTTTTAACAATAATTAGGTTGTTAAAATAGTTCAGTTAAAAATAGCTGTAAAATAGTTATGTAAGATTTCAAGTACAATTAGTGAACATACGTTACTTGTGAAACGAGATCTTCTAAAGGTTTTCCTAACTTAAAAAGATAGTTATAAAATTACAATGTCAATGTTTACATTTCATTTTAAGCATTACTTGAATGCTATATTTAACAATTTCTCGGGAATAAAACTGTGATCGCTTACATTTTACATATTTTATCTGTAACATCAGTTGGGTCAAACAGATCAGTAAGTGTTGAAACATAGAAAATGTGTAAAAAGTAATATGCGAACTTTAGAGCTCCTTTAAGGGTTGTTTTAATAAATTAGTAGTTTAAGCGTAAGTATTGTATTATAATTATTTCTGAGAAATTGTTATTTTTTCGCAATACATCGTCCTATTCAATCTGTCCTCTTAGATAAGATCAGATTTAGATTTCTTTAAAGATTGTGTAGGCTAGACCTAAACGCAACCAACAAAAAATATCCATAAATTAATATAAATGAAGATATTAGTTGAAAAAAATCTTTGAAGACCAATAAATTGAAAAATTTCAGATACCATTAATGAAGAACATCTGTCGAAAATTGTACTTAAATCACACTTAACCAATGTAAAATATCAAAACCTAATATTAGAGAATATTTATTTCGTTTTATTTATACGCGGTTTGGTGTTTTAGAAAAAAATAAGCAAATAAGACTTTTAAATACGTATATTACTCGTAGTCTTGTTTTTTCACAAAAAAGATACTGCGAAATCAATTTAATATTATATAAATTAGCTTTTATCTGCATGGCTTTAATATCCTAATACTTATTAAAATCACTATAACTACTCAACTCCAGAAGTCTTATTTTAAACGAGAACTAAGCTTAGTACCAGGTTTAGATTATTATCCGGCTTAAATAACTCAACGCGTCCCAATTTGACATTTTCTCATCTGTTATTGCTAATTTGCTTTATGGCTGGTTTAAACGGATCAAGTTGAATAGGTTGTTAACTTAATTATAAGTGACTTAGTGTAAACGCACATTTAACACTTAATATTAACAATTTATTTAACTTCTTATCGATCCGTGTAAAGCAGCCCTTAGGCGTCCAATGTTAAATAAAGTACTAGCTTAGTTCTCGCTTTATCATAAGACGGTTAGTGATATACCAAATAAATTAGTACATACGATTATACTAGGTATTTATAACTATTACCCAGTAGTTTATTAACATTTGAGGTGGACATTCGGAATTTCGCTGAGCCGAAACTCATGAAATTAATATAGTCCCTCGCACATAGCCGTAACTTAATACATAGGTGCATACCTGTGTCACATCTCTTTATAAGCAATTATATGTGAACATCTTTTTTGGTACAAACATAAATGCAAAACGGTATTAAAAATGAGGTTGTTGAAATTTAATAAATTATCAATAGGTTACGTCATTTTGACGAGTTTCACCAATTTCTAGTGCTTGTTAAGCTAATTGAGTAAACACATTTTTTTAACTTGAAGCAAAATGAAAACTTTAATGAATGGTACATTAAAGTTTTTGAAAGTTGACATTAAATCGTAAGAAAGCTTCCTCGTCTTTACATCTCTCAAAACGTTTTCGATCTGACATATTAAAAATTGAGCTAACTGAAATATGAATGAATGTATTTTATACATTTTGTATTATTTATTGAAAAGCTACATGAATGACCAATGTGTGGTATATTTTTATATTTATTGGTGTTGTGCGCTTCATCGCTTCATGTCTCCCACGTAGCTGCTTCAAAAAAATTCTCAACCATTATGTAACTAATGAAATTAAGATAGTGTTTCTCCTGTTAGTTTCTCGATAGATTTGAATTATTCAGTAATTAGATCTTACCGTAGTGTGAGTAGTTAGGTAGATAACAAGCAATAATAGATGACAATTGTAAAGAATTTGACAAAAGTAGTTGCGTTATTATAATTAACATAACACGAATTGATTACGTAATAATTGTTGAAATTTTTGTCTAGTCTTTTTGATGGCTCTAAATGCCTACTTTTGTCAAAGTTCAATTGTTCTTAATTACTTATAATTAAAATTAATGGGAAATAGAACGAGAAAAGTTTGAGGTATAATGTGGCGGTTGAGAAATTCGTCTTCTTCGGTGAGCATTAGAAAAACGATATTGATAATTTTGATTTATATATAGTTATTTTTGGATAACAAATATTCTCAACAAAATATCATAATACTAATTTTCATATTATATACAATAGCATAGATTATCTTCTGAGATTATAAAACAAATTATACAAACGCTTATTACCTATATATATCTGAATCAAATTGTACAATCATATGTACTTTTTGTTTTTATATTAATTTTCATTTATGTAACTTATCACTTCATTTCTATAAACTCATTTAATTTTCAAATTACATATATTCATAATTGTATAAAAATTGGAAGAAATAACGTAACAAGATGAGTAGGTAATAATAATGTTTTTCACACAATGTTTAAGAACAATCACTCATAAAATTTTATTGTTGCACTTTTATTGTTGGTGACGCATCCATCCCGCGAACTATTGTAATATAACATGAATACATTTCAATTTACTATGTATGACTTTGCTAATGGGAAAACTATGGGTTCATAATCCAAACATCTTATTTAACATATTCATTATATCATCAAAGATTTAAATATATTGAGAAAAACACGATTATTATTTTGCTACGTACGTAATAGGCAATAAGAAATCACCAGGTTCAGTGCAAATGCACTTAAACGTTTTGTTTCATTTGGCTTTGTAACTTGTTTGAACAGTCTATAGTTTTCTGGAGTAGTAGTTTCTTGGCAGTTCCAGAATAAAACACCTTTTGATGATTTCACGATGTTATTTTTAATACCTTGTCTTAAGTTAATAATATTTATAGTTAGCATTTTGCCACGGAATGAAGGAAAATAAACTGGAAACTCTCATACCAATTCATTTTGGCGTCCTTTTAAGTTGTACTGAAACTAATTTTAAATTGCATTAAAAGCCTAATTAAATCCCTCGGTTTGCGTTGCGTCATAGGTTATTCAAAATCATTTGCATTCAAGATAAACGCGTTTACATGAGAGATAATTCTCTCATTCCGAGATTTACTTCTTTTTGTACTAGTTTTCTCGACTTTTGGATTTTCATATCAATGTAATTTTCAATATGGTAAGAATAGAGTAAGGTAATATATTTTTTGAAACATCTGAGTACATTCTTTATACAATAAAGACCGTGAACTATAGATCCACAGACAGATTCTAAAATATCTTTTGATTGGTTCAATAATTATCTCTCAATTGCGGAGACAACCTTTAAAGTTTAATGACGACTTTAAGCTCTAATAAATGTTCTTAATTTAAAATATGTATTTGTAATTTCGCTTTAAACTAATGTAATTTCAATGGGTGCAAGATTTAAATTATGTGTGATTAAAGCAAACCATTTATCTTAAACAGTGCTGTTCTATAATAAAATCCGCCTTGATCTCGACGTCTAACACAGCGCAGTCACAGCAAAGAGAATTATCAAATATAAACGACTTTAAAAGGTAATAAAGGCTTCAGCACTGTGCTAGACTTTTATTACAGAATAGCATAGTTTATAGCGGCTAGTAGACGAATGTAATAAATGGAAAAATAATTTTTGACGAAGCTTTATCAAATTTATTAGTAATTTCGTATAAGAACATGAAAACAACATTGCTCATACAAAACAACATGTATATTAATAAGCTTATTAGTTGTTATCTCTTCACGTTTGTATAATACCTACTATTTGTTCGCATACCAATACGATATAGGTATAAAATTCACTGGTTAGCTTTAGCAATATATCGCCTCCATTTGTGCAATTATATGTAATTCATATCATCACAACGTTTTATAATCCTAACATGGACCTATTCTAGGCTTAATATGTTTACTTTTTCCAGTGTTATTTTATCGTCATCATATAGAAAACCTAATTATTTGATAATATCTGGTATTTATAAAGTTTCTCATTTAAAACAAGCGTTTAATTCCGTATCTATAGTCGAGAGAAGTATTTATTTGAGAATATGCCATAATTTCAGAAAATATTTTTAACAAATAAAAATAAATAGTATTAAGTTGCGAGAATTTTCAAAATACGCTGAATCGTAATCACTGTTGTCCTGAATTTAATGTATGATGTTTCTTAATGACATTAATTTGGGTGAACCGCTGACATTTACTTAAGTAAGATAAATAAACCTTCAGGGTTACGAACTTTTAATATAATTTTGCTTTATTTTCTTCCGAATTTACAAAGAGTTTACAAATTTGATTCTTACATACATTGTAATAAACCACTGGGATTTGTCTATAAAGTTTCAAATCCAAAAAGGTTAAGAACCACTGTCTTAGTCAACCTACATTATAATTTTTATGCTGGTGATATTAGACGTCCATATTTCACACCCTAATAATGAATGAATTATATGTAAAATGTATGGTTTTTGTTTAAGCATTTATGTCGTTAAGCACTCACTGAATATTAAAAGCAATATAATTACATGGGGATATATTATGTATACCATAAGTATTTTCATTTAAATTTATTAAGTTGTGATTTTGTGATATTATTGCACTGTTGTGACTATAATAGTATGAAAACCTTAACCAGATTCAATCGTTAGATGTTGAAGAGATTATTACAGATGAATTTGAATTGAAGTTTTGTTTTTTTTATTTATACCCTCACAT